TTGATTAACAGCCAACCGAGTCTGGCAGCGAAATCGAAAATGAAAAATATTCGTTCCTTTTTTGCGCTCTTCGCCCGCTTGATGAGGAGCGGAAATTTGTAACGCTGCCGTGTCAAAATTCTCCAGCGCCAAAGTTGTAGCCTTGCCGCGCGAATCATAAGCGATGACCCAGTCCCGTCGACCCTGATTTGTCCGATGCGTCGTGTATCTTTTATGCGTCCGGTGATATCGGTCACGGCGAGATTTATTTCCTCGCTTTAACAACTTTGGGGCTGGGAGAAACATGATTCGAAAATTTATTTAATATTTAATTTAAAATTCGAATACGTTTATGTGACGATAATAAATAACGTTGACGCGTTAATTTATGACTCAATGTCCATTGCGATAAGTCAACCAGTCGACTGCCAAATGAGGTGATAAGCGAATAGGACAAATAAAACTGCACGCCAGATGAAATTTGTTAGTCACGAGTAACCCATAAAAAGGCTGCAAAAGTCCGGAGTCATAAGTGGCGGTCATTAAGGTGGATTAATGGGTACTTATACATCACCATTGTCAGATTATTGAATAAGGTGGTCGACGGAGGGAAGCGAATTCTTATCTGGAACGACTCTGGCCATCATTCACCGCGGCGGAGTCGAGTCCACTTCTCCAATTCCTAGTCCTGCAATACCCAAGTAGTTCTCAAAGTTTGTTTAACGAGGCTCATTTGAGATGGGCCGGCCATACGCGGGTGACCTCTTCGATCCCATTATTCGTTCATCTCGATGCTCCCTTTCATCTTCTCTACCGCTGTCTGTCGAAATCGTTCTGCTCAGTCCTGACTCAATGCCGCGCCGTTTACATGCATTTCGATAACGATCCACTAATTGACAGTCATCAGGACGTAAGCCGGCAATCCAATCATCAATTATTGCATCATCGTCTTTGGACGTTTACCAGAGGGATTCGTTACTCTCTGCTTTGGGAATTTCAATTACTGAATGGAGACTATTTTGAATTAACAATGGAGATTCAATTTGTGATGACGAATTGGGGCTCAGTAAGGTGCAACACATGATTCCAATTCTGATGCAATTAAAACATCTGTCTCATTAACGGAATTGTTCATCATGTACACGAATTTCCCTATTAGTTAGGATGAACAGCGAAATAATTAAATAATTTACTGATACGGGAGAATAAATAAGAATTTACGTATCGCATCGTGAGAACCATGAAAATAATGTTGAATTTGCATATTGGCGTTTGACAGACGTTTCGACGAGCATTAACAAAAAAGCTGGCGTTGGTACATACGGGAGTAATGCGATGCTCGTCGACGATAAATTATCCATAGGCTGTGCGCGGCGAGCTGCGACGGTCAGATGCGCCGGCAAAAACTGGCAAAATGGATTATTAATTACGATATCATGCCGACATCCCTCGACAAAGGGGCAACGCGAAGCGTCGGATACTCACTTGAAATTCGATCCACGAAACGAGGATATTCAGAATGAATATTTCTTTAGTCATTAAAAAATATAATTGGAGGATATGAAATATCAAACATTGTTTACAAAAAATATATTTTTGTACACATTTTACTGGATTTATTTATTTTTTGTTGATACAGTCGGACATTGAATCCTAAAACTGTGGTCAAATATTTTGTAAAATAACAATTCTAAATGTATTCTAAATACGTCAAACTTAATATGAAGCACGCGCTTAATGCTGTTCGTAGTGCACCGTCACGTTTTCCATCGTTTGAATCGATCATTCAATTTTGAAGCGTTTGGCAAATGAACACAAGATTGGTTCTTGTTGATTAAACTGGCCTTTCGATTCTACTAACTGATATCCAACGTTATTTCGCTTGCTGAACGGTCACGTGATAGTTTTACAGCGTTAATCTTCCATTTATGAAACAACGAATTAAACATCGAGTCTGCATATTGTGAAAAAGATGACAATTTAAAAGCTGATTGTAGTTGCCGCGTAATAAAAGTACCGGACCCGGCTGTTTCATTTTGGAATATACTGTTTAATTGCAATTTTTCGGAACGAGAGAACATTTGTCGAGTAACTATGACATGGCACCGTGCGGTTTCGTTTAACTCGTATGTATATGTATATTTCGATCAATGCTAAAAGCTTGCCGTCACAATTCATTTCGCCAATAATTAACTTTCAAAGCGCAGGAAATTCACTTGCGACGCGACAAACGCGGTACTGACATACTGTAATTTTCCAATTGTTACCGAATTATTGTTTCTCTTTCAGTTGCAATTTGAATTGCACTAAAAAAATTCGCTGTCTGCACTCTTCGGTCAAGTATTTTATCATCGAAAAGTGTAGAAGTGGTTTAATGCTCGCAACATTCCAGTCGACGATTTCCGAACCGAGGTAAAATTTGTCCAGCAGGGACGAAAATTGTTGGACGAAATTCCGGGGTAAGCGGGGTTTGGAATTCGATGAAATATCTCAGCGGCCGGACATTTATCATCCCCGATTTATTAGGTTTCGTCTCGGTTACATTAGGAGAATTCGTTCCATTAAGTGGATTGCGCGAACGAAAAAGGACAAATGCAAGCGGGTAGCGCGGTCCATCGCAGCGGACGCGCGCCGTCCTATACTCGCCGCCGGATAACCGACCGCTAATTGCGTTCGTCATACCGATAATTAATAATGCATCGATCGGGGGCGGCGCGGCGTGGCGACAAGTGGCTGGCGAATTAAATGCATTAACGACAATAATCGGGTTGCGGTGAATGGCAAATCGAAAATACACCGTGGCGGGAGTTATTGAATGCAAACGAGGACGCGATCCATCATCCGGCTGAACTGCCGGCTGTCGACGCCGGCACAAACGTTTACCGTCACTACTGTCAATCGCGCATGAGTCGAACGAAAGAACGTGGTACTCCGAAACAATTTGACAATCGGATGATCGTCGCTTCTCAAGAATGACTGTTTTCATTGACGATTACTTTTTTTTCACTACAGAACACTGGATAGCTTAAGAAGGAAATAAGTGCATAGATAGCAAATCTATAGTTGCTATTTTTATCCGTGCCTTTATTTAACGACACATAAATTATTAAACGATAGATTCTGATTTAAGGCAATTTTTATATACGCTCAATGTGGTGTCCATACGTGAATATGAATAGTAATTGTAATAACGAATTATGGATATCTGTGCGAAATATGTACAACATGATTATGACAATGATGACTGAAGAAGTGTATTAAAATTCGACTAATGTCATATCCATTGTAAGATTGAAAAAAAGCGAGGGTAGAGGGTGTCTGGTAAAATGCAGACGGAAACAGCGACGAGATGAATGGTGGACGGTTTCATTTACAGAAGGGCCGCCAGAAGAGGTGACGAACAATGATAGGGAAAGCCGTGTTGATACTGTGCGGAGTGTTGACGATATCCCAGTGCTGCTACATTTTTCCAAAAGGTACTTGAGCGTAAATAACGAGCGAAACGACGATGTCCCGGCCTCTCCATGTTCTCTTCTCGGTCAACGAGGCCCGATTTGTATCCGCGGGTAACGCGTAACGAAACACGGGAAGAAAGACGAAATGTACTTTCGGAATGTTTCGCGAAATAAAATATTCATCAGTACGTATTTCTGTTATTCAGTGTCATTAGAAAAATATTGGATACAGAATAACTGAAAGGATTCAACAGATTTCTAGGAAATGTATAAAAATATACAAGCTACATAGAAATGTATACATATGTATGAAATATATCTATGTATATTTTTTATCTTATTTAAGATGATAAAAATGTTTTCTCTCTGTGAATCATTTTTTCTTTGCATACAACTTACTTGGCGGTCTATCGTTTATCCTACGAAGCTGTAATTAGAATTGCAAATAAAATTCTATTTATTCAATTGAAATTTATTTTATTTTATCAATTAATTTCTGTAGACATTCTGCATAAAAACTCAATGAAATCCAAACAGTATTAAGTGACGTGTTCAAACCGAACGAATCACGTTAGACATACCGTATTTTCTAATTTCCTTTAACTCGCGTCAGAAAAAAGAGCGCGTTAATACTCGTTTCAGCAGGGACGTATGACTTCCTCCATTCTGTCATCGGTGTTTCTTTTTCTCGAGGGCTATGATATAGAGATAATCACCAGGCGGGGAAAGAATGTTTTAATTGGGCTTATCGTTCTCCGCTCCTTCACGGAGCGGGCACGGCGGCAGTTCCATTAAAAATTTTCACCGGCTTAACCGTGGCTGAATATTCGCCGGCGGTTTTTTATCTGTTCAAATCCCGAGAAGAGGAGAGCGAGATCCGGTGAACGCGGTCACGACTCGCGCGCGTTGTATTTTGCGACTACATCCCACGGTAGACGATACTTTATTCATCGTGAATTGCGCGAATTTAATTTCACGCCACTTTACTGCACGCGTCCGTGTTTACGGTTTGTAATTACGTTTGATGCCACAACGACCGTGACGCCGCAGGGATAAAAATTATTGATTAAACGTGGCGGCCGCGATTTTTCCTATCCTCCACCGTCCCTCCTAACACCGTTCCTGCGGCGAAGAATTTTCCCTCTCCGGCTTAACGGTTTAATTTCCTCGCGGGAAGCTGTAATTGTTACTTTCCGTTACGATGGAACTGTCCGCCCGTTGTTTGTACGGTTTACAATGGCGGACACTGAAGTATTGAATTTTATGTAAAATATTTCAAGTTCCGGAGAAATTTATTTAATATGCTTGACATCACGCCGTAACGAATCGGTATAATTCTTGAAATGGTTTCATTTCTGTTATTTCGTTGACGGATATCTTCCTATCCTTGGAATTTCAAGAGATATAGTTAAATCCTATCTAAAATGACATAAAGAAATGCAAATTGAAATAATGAAATAAATTTATTATGTCAACTACATAATTTAATTTCGAAATTACTCCAATGAATGATATTAATATGATAATATAACAATCTATTCGTAATCGAAACAATTTTTGTTACAGAAATCAAGGATCCGTGCGCGAAATTAAATTGCACCCAGGGTTCGCAATGCGTGCGAAGCCGGGACGGCAGCGAGGCCACCTGCGAGTGTTTGGAATCCTGTCCGAATTTAGGGGATCACGAGGGATCGGGCCCTGTCTGCGGCACAGATGGGATCGACTATCCGTCCCTATGCGAATTGAACAGAGCTGCCTGCGCCAAGGGTGCTAATATTACAGTGGCGTTCCAAGGAAAATGTGGTAAGTATTTTTCTTTGGATCTTCTGCACGCGCCCGGCACCCTGACACGTTGTCTCCGCCGAGGAGTCGAGAATTCAACATAAACCTCGTACGCGCGAGAGAAACGTGCTCGGAGACGTTATTGACTTCAGCAGGTTGAAAAATTCATTTCCACTGGATTCCGTTGAATAAGTTGCGTGTTCGATGTCGAGAAATGTGATTGGAGATCTTATTGATTCAAGCAGATTGAAAAATTTATTACTATACTATCTTGTTGGTTCAGTTGCCGGTTTGATATTCATTTAATCGGAGACGACCTCTAAATCGGAAAATACACAGGGACACGAGTGGTTAAGTTAACATTACTGATTTAAATCTCGTCGAATAAAAGTACTATTGTGAAATACATACTTTCTTTAATAGAAGTACAGAATAAACTTCGAATTAAAATAATTAGAAGAATCAATATTGAAAATTTGTATACTGTTTGGTACACCAGTATTTATAGAGGAAGTAATAAATTATAAAGTGCTCATTTGATATGAATAAAAAAGTGAAGCACGATTTTCGATCCAGATCCGGGTGTTTCATGTTCAATGTTTCGATTTTAAAACCGATATCAATCTCCTACGAAACAACCCATTCGTAGATACTCTTGCAGTAAAAAATGTAATTAACGAAGCTCGTACGCGTGTTTCATAAACCAATATAGTGAATTAGGCTCCTGGATTTGAAACTAGAAAAATGTTTAAAGCGTTCAAGAAAATTTTCGTTCCCGGGGTAAGTTATTTATTGAGATGGGAAGCGTGCTCGGACTGTGGTGGTAGTACGGCTTCCAGGAAACAAATATTTGCGGAATCGAAGTCGAGCGGGGGTTAAGCACCGAGGTTTGTCAGTACGTATTTACTTGCGCCTTTATGCACGCGATGGAGATTACTTCCGGGCAGATGCGCTCGTTTACATTTGCAACCTACGTACACTGTGTACGTATGGCGCCTCCCCCTTGATGATATCGCCGGAATTATTCTTCGTGGAACCCGCAAATGTAAAGTCCAGAACTATTAAAGGGGGCAAATATTGTTTTATACTTCTCGTTTCCCAGTTGCGTCTAACAAGAAGTACACTTTTAAGCATGTATTAAATTAATCGGTGAAAAATGTTTAATTAACGATGTAGACGACACGAGGAACTGTTCCTTTTAATTTACCGAGACGATTGTTCTTTTCTAAAGTATTTCATCGACTGCAAAAAGTGGAACAGGAAGTTTCTAGTTGTATCGGAGACAGTATGAGAAAACAATGTAACAAATTGCACGTTAATCCCCTTTTAGTGCCATCCTTTTCGTTCTTATGTCCCTCACTAAAATACTCCTTCCCATCATTTTACACACAATGAACACTTTTTCGACGAATAACGGTGTCTCTGATATCCGCTGATTAAACGGAGGAGGTAAAAGAAGGCCGGGCTAATCATCTCCTAAATAAAAGCCTTAATTCAGGAAACAATTCTAAGCTTTACCATGTGTACGCGTGAACGTCACCGAGCAGCGGAATTAATCAGCGGTCGACAATGGTGCATCGAGGAATAGCGACGAATTAAACGAAGGGCTAACAAAAGGTGGAGTGGCCCATGCAAGGAAACGAGAGAGGAGTATGAAACCAGCGAGTGTTCCGCAATATCGGTCAGAAGCAACAGAAAGACACTGATAAATTAGAAGTGTGCGAACAGCGTACATAGCCGTTTACTTCTCTTCCCTTAGCCTCGTTTTAGGTTCACACGTATTTACTCAGACACATGTTAAATTCTTTGTACACATGATCCATCACGGAGCAAAACATTTACTTTGCGAATTTCATGGCAACCGATTCAGTGAAACGTTTTATACTAATTAGAGGATAAAATTAATTGGCTGGAATAGCAATGCTATCTTTAGATCACAAAAATGTATATTTTCAGTTTTTTAAAGGCCCATTAAAAAAATGGAATCTATCGATTATCTAATTAGAATTCAGTATTGGACTACATATGTATGTACATCGATTGTTCGTTCTTGACAAAATGAAATTAGCTCTCTGTCTTTGTCTCGTTCTCTTAAAATTAATAACAATTGTCTAGCAGTGATAAAAGACATAAAATTCTTCGTACTAAGAACGCATCCTTTCTTTACGTCGTTTCCAGTTACCGTCTCCTTATTCTCATAGGTCTCTCTTTCTATCTAATTTTTCATCCGCCCGTATACTTTTTCTCATTGTACTAGGTCCTTTGATACTCCTCTGAAGATTTTTCTTTGTTTCCCATCTCCGATGTTTCACTTTTTACCTTCACCCGTGCGAATTTCTTCACTTACTTACAGTTTCCTTTCGTGATACATCTTCTTCAATTTTTAACGCCTTCATATCTGTCTGCAGGTTTCTATTCGTTAAAGCAATTTCTGCTTCTTCTTGCGCCGTGTATCTCTATCCTCCGTCGAGTTCCTGCTTCTCAGATTTTTAGTCTCGTTACATCACGCGCTGATGTCCGTACAAAGTATGAAATAGTTTCTTCTGCGAATAGATTTCATTACTTAATACCTGTATCTTCGATTAAAGCATACTCGTCCTTTTCTTCCAGGTTTCACTTTGTGCCTGCAACGTCACTTAGCTATTCATCAACTCCTCCATTTTTCGATATTACATTTCATCTTGAATCTTCCTTTCCTTTCTATTAATCGCCTCTTTCATGTGCCATCTTATTAATTCAGATATTTTCTTGTATTCACATCTTTCATCATCAGATCGCTTCCACATCGATTATACTTGCCTTTATTTTATACATTACCTTTATTTTATATTATATCCCTGTTCATATTCATGTATGCATATGTAATCAAATTTCTTGTTCACAAACAGATTTAACAATTCAGCTTCTTTATCTTTAATTAATCCTTTCGCTTTGTACGGGGCCTTCAATTTCTTTCTGTGTACACTTTTCTCGATTACCTCACCCTCAGAATTCCTTTGTCTTCAACTCTCCCTTTCTTTACATTCATTTTTTCATTTAGTATCTTCTAAGAAAGTTTCCTCCGGTCTTCCCTACCAAACGTTTCTGATTGCTTTCGCCTGTCAGAATCTGAATCATCGCGTTTCAATTCTATCCTTCAGATTTCTTGGCGAACTGTTTATTCCCTGTTCAGTACAGTGCCCTCTAGCCATCGGCTCGAATGCAGTACAAACTTGGCGTGCGTTTAATCAACCGAGTAGTAAAGACAAATGTTTGATCAGACAGGTACCTTACAAGAGGAAGGTGGCAACGTTTACTTAGGATTAGACATGTCCACCAGTAGCTCTTCGTCCACCCCTTCTTATTCTTCGAACGGATCCGGTGATAATCATGCGCACTGGATAACCAGCACACCCACGCGTTTTCCCCCTCGCAAAGCAATTTTCTCACAATGCAATGTGTCTAATTGCTGTTGATCTTTGGTGATTCTAATAATACGGGTAATCTCAAGAGACTCTCTGACTGCCTGATTATTACAATTTTCTTATTAATCAATTGTAAAATTAAAAGATATTAGCAATTCCTGCTTACAATTGTTTAATTATAAAGGAAAAATTAAAAAAAGGAACGAGATAGAAATGTGAAAGTAAGAGAGCAAGAAAGCAATCGAAATTATATGAAGAAACGGATCCGTGTTGTCTCTGAGGACAATAAAGCATATAATAATAGAGGACAAGCATACTCGAAGATTTCCCGGGTTCTAACAGTTAGCTAAAGAAATCTTCATTTCTCGCAGGGAAAGTCAGGACAAAGAGTGGAGGAGAAGAGAAAGGAAACTAAAGAAAGTCGAGGGTGTCCTTTATCAATCGTAGCCAGTCGCTCCGCAGCGGCGAAACGGTGAAATCAATAATAGATTCTAACAGCCACGCGATGGTGGTGGGAGGTGGTTGATGGGGACTCGTTTCTCGCTGCGATTCGACCCAGCCCATCCCTGACCCTTCCTAATTTCTTCGGCAACGAGGACGCCGAGTCAGGGGTGGAACGAGCCGAGTCGCGAATCTCAAGTGGCTGCGACGATAAATCAAATTAGCTCGAAACTTTCGAGACTTTCCGATCGTCACCTGCCGTCCCTTCGCGCCCCTCGCCGCCCGTCTCGTGCCCGACCGTGAAGCCTCCGGGCGCTCCCACTGCCAAAGACGATTGGCCCGAGGGTAAATTGAAAAAACGGGGGAAATGAGTTTTCGAAGCGAACGAACTTTTTCAATGATTGAAAGTAGCAGCAGCCGGGGACTGCCGCGGCGGGGGAAAATATCGCGAGGTATGGACACCCGCGATTAAAAGTATGCATTCGCATTAATGTTATTGAAGCACAGGACGGAAGTAGAAAGAACACGGTAGATAGAGAGACTGTTTCATCGTCGACAGCGACGCGAAGTTACGCTTACCAGTTATTGAGTGCGTAACAAGTTTCAAACCTCTTTCTCGCTGTATGCGAAATGTTCGAAGTTGAAACTTAAGGAGGAAATTGTTTTATTTCAAATAACAAGCACTACGCGATTTAGATTTATTAATCGCGAACTTTTCACAGTATGCATAAGAATAGAAATGTTTTTATCAGGATATTGTTTAACATGAATACAATCTTAATTTTTATTCTGAATTTCATTTTTTATTAACGTTCAATTTTTAAAATAACGAAAATAAGACAATGGAACGACGCTATCGCCGTGTCGTTAATTATTATAAGAGTCGTTCACCGTGAGGAACGATCTCGCGATTCTTTCTCTTTAATTCCAGAATTATCCATTCACCGTGCGCGGGGCGCGATCGTTAAGTAACCTTTTCGAGAGAAGTCTTTGAGAGATAAACGTGGTTTTCATCCTTGTTCTTTTTCCTTCGTCCCTGCCCACCCCCGTTTTCATTTCCAACCGGAGGAATTCGCTTTAGCTCGTTTCCCGTGAATATCTAGATCTGAAATGGAGGCGAGTGTGCCGTTTCCTTCACGCTCGAATGTACCGAAATAAGGGTCTTCCATGGGGATAGCGGGTAGATCTCGAAAACGTTAGCTTCGAGAAGCTTCCCCCGGAATGGGCTCAACTAAATTCTCACACTAGTCGATTCAAGGATATTCTCGTGGCGTGGAACGCGTCGACGAGACTCGAGGCGTGCACAGACTGATCGCGTGGCTTCAATCCGCATCCGGCTGGGTCTGAATGTGTGCAACCGGTTTGTCGGTTTGTCCTCGTACCTGTTCCAAAGAAAAGCTCGGTTATATCGTCTAGAAAAAGAGAATCGAAACGTAACTCTTGGACAATGTCGGATTCGTCTTTGAATTTACATTCAGTTTGCGCGGTAAAGGAGTTTGTAAATTTAACCATTTACCTCTCTGTACATTTTTACGTTTGTACAATGGACTTAGGAAATTCGAGTAATATCCACAGTTGCTGTTAAGTTCTTACGTGTATCAATTAGAAATAATTGTATTGTTTCAGTGTTCCATTAATTTCTCAAGAATTTAATTTACCGCGAAAGTACTACCAGTTAATAGCAAAGACTCCTTAGAAATTCAGCACAAGATTAGAGAACACTGACGAAGCAAATGCAAATTGAAACCACGTTGGCATTTTCGCTGCACGATTTTTCTTCGTCAAGTTCCCCACGAAGATATTTTATCATCGATTTTAATCACACAAAAAAGAAGATTGCGTTGTTCTCTAGTACCTGGAATTACCCATTCTGAATGCTTCGATCAATCTAAAAGAATACTAAACAGTGAAATCGTGCAGAAACCGCACGATGACGTATGCAACTCGCGACTGCACATTTCTACGGTACGTTCAGATCGTCTCCCTCAAAAGAGCCGGTCCATAAATTATCTTCAAACGGTTACACCGTAATCGCATTGTAATGAAATCAAACCGCGAATCTCTGCATGCAAATTGCAACGGCGCGCAGTGAGCAGCGGCTGCGAACGCGAATCCATCTGCATTCATCCGTGTAATCACTTATAATTTACTAACGACACGTGCTATGGCTGCCTCTTCGGAACGATCCAACCATCGAACGGCTTCCAACACAACCGGGAGACATCGTCTTTGCAAAATAGCCCGTTTACGATGCAACCCGCACCGCGCCAAGGGGGAGTCCCGCTGGAAACTTCCTACTGTCCCTTGCATAGGAACTCCACCCCCGGTAGTAAATTACCATCGCAGTTCCTGAGCGGATGCTCTTACGCGCTTATGTTTACGCGTTCCGAGCTTAAGTGACTGCTTTCTGTGTTCCCGTGCTATGGTTCCTGGTACACTTTGGGGATGTCGCGAATCGAATGATGCCGACTTGCCGCGCTTGTACGAAACAGACTGCGGCCGTGAAGCCGCTGTTAGTATAAACACTCAAATTCTCAAATCTAAATCTCTTTCAAGATATACCTCTTACTAAACACAATAGTCATTGACAGGAAAAAGAGAGAAAACCTAATTTCAATAGATCGTTCAAGACCCGGTGGCTCGGTTGAATAGTGAGATTTTGTTCAGTAATGAAATTAAGATATCCTCTATTAAGTTTTGAGAGTAGTTGAAACCTCATTTCGTATTTAGATGAACGATGGTTCATTACGAATTTCGTTTGTATGCGTCATCATGTTTGGGATGTTTTTATTGAATCTAGTTATTAATGAGTTCTAATAAAACTTCTTTAGTGAGTATCAGAATACCTCAGTTTCGTGGAATTTATCGTGGATTTCTATAGGGAACCGATTCAGGTAAATCGACTGCAAGGCCACTTCGTTTGCAGATAGTGTTATAATTAAGCCAATGCTGAGACAGATGTCGACGAAATTAATTCGCCACGAGATATGTACGTGTGGATCAAGCTATATATATATATACGATATGTATATATTCAATTGTGTAATTCCCAAACTGGTTTTCAGTCGAATCTCTGTACGCGCCGTATAGACGCATCAGAGAATGTAAATGATTTACCAGCTTGATTAACAACAATTTTAATTACCTATTTCATTCAGAAATTACTCTCACTCATTTCGACGAAATCTTATTTTCTATAAAGCACATAATTTGAAGCTGAACATGCCGTTCGTCCCTTTTAATGCGAAACGAACTTTTCGCTCCGAGAACTGTTTATTATAATTTCACAAATGGCTATTCACCTACTGCCTCGTTCAGCGTTTTCATCCGGCCAGAAGAAAACATTCAAATGCCGTTTAAACGCGACGGGCACTGCGCGTTTTACTCGTCCGGTTGGCAAAAGTGCAAACAGAAAGCCGAGGTAGAAAGGATAACCATCCGGAACAATAACGAAACGCGAAATAAAGAACGCTGTGGGGAGGAAGCGGTGAGCAGAGAGAACAGAGAACGAGGACGAAGTTAGCGACCTTTCAATTCGTTGATCAAACTCAATTCAATTCCATTTAGCCGCCACTTATCCTCTTCAGACAACTTCTTTCTTATTCCGTCCCGCCGCTTATTATTCCTTTCTGAAAGTTATTCCGCGAGAATGCAAAATACGCGGCGCCGTGGCGTGTCGAGGAAAGGTGGAGGTCACGGGTGGACGAAGGGTGAGAAAGAGAAAGATCGGTGGCCCGGGGATTCACGGGGGCGGTAAAAAAGTAGCCGGGCCACGTAGAAAGTTTCGCGTAACTCGGAAGATTAGACCAGGGCCGATGTTGCCGTTGGAGACAGCCAGGCAGTGAAAGAGGCTACGCAGGAGTCGGGGCTGGGGGATGCCGGCTGCGGCTCTTACCCACGGACTTAAAAACAATTGCCCCGCGGCGACGCGGGAATCTTAAATACACTTTTACCGCCGGCCCGGATGGCTTTTGTTCAGTGAAATCACTCGGGAAGGGGGAACGGTGTGTAACGGTGTGAGAACTGAGGTCCTGACGCACTCTGTCCACGATCGGGAGATCTTTAAGGCAATTTACGAGGAGTTTTTACGGTTTCAACTGACGCCACCTCTTCTGGATCTTGTTTTTATTTCACCTTCTCTTTCAGCCCCATCCCTCCTCTCGCTCCACTTTCGCGTAGCCAGTATTTACTCAGTCTAGTTTTAATACTACTTTCTTGTTGTCTTTTCCTATTAATCTGTATTAATGGAAAAGGAAATAGAGGAATTAGCAAGAAAAATTTAAATACTCACACTTTTTCATTGAATTAACATTTATTTCTTATATGTTGCTGATCAAAGTATTATTCAGTTAGCTGACTTTAATGGTAGAACCATTTGTTTCTTCATGCGGGAATTGCTAACTTTACTTCGTGCACATTGCGCAACGACAGATATCATTACGTGCACTCGCGGCGGAGTTTTCTGGATAACGACGAACAGACGCCGATACAAGGGATCCCTCAAGTTGCTCTGATGATAGTACAAAGAAATCCGCATCAGGGTAATGTTGTGGAAAGTTAGTGCGGCAGCTTAGAGGCGCACGATTCTCTGTCTTTGAACGGGGGTCGTGAGCAGTATTTGGGAAGGGGTGGAAATTCCAGAATAGGAAAACTTTTAACAGCCGCCACTATAGGAAGTGCAATAGAAGAATGGAAGGTTTCACATTTTCAAACTTAACTTTCTGTAAAGTTAATAATTTCATCATTGCTTAAAATTACAATTGTCTCGCGTGATCAGAAAATTATATTTTTAAAACAAACTTTTAGAACCTTTGAAAAAGAAAATAAATTTCGTATATTCGTGTTAATAACCAATTAACCTGTGGAAGGAGATTGAATAAATTAGAAAGAAATGCTGCAGGGAAATTGATGCGACTGCACGATTAGGACGCGAGTTAGTCGGCGTTAGATTGATAAAGGCAGATGTAAAGAGCGGTCTCGCAGAATAAGGGATGAAAAACGGGGATTAGGCGGCCGTGGTCGACGGGAGGGAGTGCAGGTGCCATAGGTAGGGGCGTGGGTGTGCGCCGAGATTAATCTTCGCCCTCGACCAAGGAAGGAAGTTGGATTCCGTTTCCTGTCCGTAGGCGGTAGGTTTCGACCTTATAGCGCGGCTGACGCGGCAACTTCCCGAGGCGGTGGTGTTTCTCGGGGTTAGTTCGAGTTACAGCTCAGTAGAGCGGCTAAACTCGACCCTTCCGCAACCACCCCTCGTTTCTTCCTCACCTGCCGTCCGTTTAGTGGCTCGTCCAGAGTTGTAATCGAAGTCTCCCGTCGCTCGGCTTCTTCCCAACGCAAATTATATTCTTGTCGAATTAATATCCATTTCATTTTCACTACTGAACACTTCCTAAACGAAAATCATGTTCCAGATCATTTGATAAAATGCTCTAAGTAGATACTCTTTACAATAAATTAATATGGTTTTTAAATATCTCCTAGCGAGACAATATGTATTTAAATGTAACTCTTCCTCTCTCATTTATAACATATAAATAAGATTAAGACGGAGTTCTCGATTTCTCTCAGCACGTAAGATTTGAACATCGCGTTATGTGTTTGACTAACAATGACTTGAGCATGACTTTGAGCTATACGAGCTATAATTTAATTTTCTAGATCCTTGTGCTAACGTGGAGTGCATGGAGCCGGAAATCTGTCAGCTGGACGATTCGAGGAAACCTGGTTGTCGTTGCGGCGAGCAATGCGGGCTGGAGTTCGCGCCGGTTTGCGGCAGCGACGGCAAAACATATTCGAACGAGTGCAGTATGAGACAGGAAGCTTGCAGATCGAGATTATCGCTCAGAAAAGTCTACAACGACCAATGCAGTTCAGGTAATTTGTCTAATTACGTTAATTAGATCGTTTATAAATTTGATACTTCATTTATCAGAAATAATATTCCGTATGCCAATTCGGATACGCAAAACTTGATAAAGAATTTGCCTGAATATTTGTTGAATCAATCGGGAGTGGCGTGGTGATGTTGCACACGGGAGATATTTTTAATGTTCGCGTCACTGTGCCAGGGTTCAATCCGTGCGACGAGGCGAAGTGTGGTTCGGACGAGCAATGCGTGATCAACCGGCAGGGGATTGCCAGCTGCGAATGCGTCCCGGAATGCGAGCCGGTGATGAGGCCGGTTTGCGCGCGCGGTGGCAAGACGTACACGTCGCTATGCGAATTGAAACGGCAGGCTTGTTTAACAAAGACCAACATCGAGCTCGCCTACACAGGGATCTGTGGCTCCAAGGGGCCCTGCTCCGAGAAGGTCAGTGCTGGTTTCGCTACCAGATTCGAGACATAAGAAGTAGCGGTCAAATATTTGAACATAGAAACAAGACGTGACAAAAACCGATGCATAGTTTTAAAATACGAACGACCAGATGAACGATGTTAATTCTGCATGGAAACCTGTTCCGGAATTCATCTGTTCATAGACGCTGTATCGTAGTTCTGCTAATTATGAAAATTCGCAAAGACCTGATTAATGCGTGCAAAGATTAGAAACGTCTATGAGGAGATATATAACTGGTAGAAGTTTGTATTGCAGATCTGTCAGTGGGGCGCAATTTGCGCGGAAATCGGTGGCACGGCGATTTGTGAATGTCCAACTTGTCCGGCGCAATTTCAACCAGTTTGCGGTGATGACGGCATCAGTTACGGAAACGAGTGCAAACTTCGCCTCGAGGGCTGTAAACATCGACGAGAGATCCGTGTGCTCTATCAGGGACTTTGCAGTGAGTAAAAACGTAGAATTTTCTAATCCTTGAGTTTAGTAAATCTACGTTCGTGGTGAAAGTCTTTCTTTCTTTTATTCATTTCGATGGGGCGGGGGAGATTCTCTCAGGGTTTAACAAGCGACCTTAATTGTACTACCAATTGTCCACTATTTCTGGTATTCATAAGTCGAAAATCCTCACCTTAAATTGCAAATACCAATTACGCAGCGTCCGCAGAGATTGCCAGAAAGTATACAATATTCAGAAGGTTCATTAAAATTCATGAAACGTTCATGGCTCCCGATATATTTCCGAGCACAGTGTCGATTTCTCGACAGGAAATCAAGAATCGTTCTCCCGAATTGATTCGCCCACGCGAAATGAACGGTACGGCGGGCGCACTGGTTCAACCCGGAGCGAAATTTTCTATCCTAGAAGATGAGTTTTAAATTATTCAGACAAAGCAAGCCGCGCGCTGATATTCCAACACTAATGCATATCTAATAACAGGATCGAAACGAATGGATGATAGCGAATGGATTAGTATGATTGAATTATTTATTATCCACTGGCAACGTGATTAAAATTAAAAGCAATACGTCCATTTGAATTTCGAGTCAATTAAAATACGTTCTCGAAATAATTTAACTTCGCTCTTTGTTATTGTCGCCCGCTCCGGATTTCGTTCCGATCCACCTTCGTTGAAACGCGGACTGATTAAGATTTTCCTGCGCGAAATTCGTTGATTGAATATTGATCGAGTAGGGGGAAGTAGCATAATTAGAATGAGACCATCTACCGGGTAAATAATTATGGAAACTTTGTTATGAAACGAAGCGGGCCGAAAGAGAAAAGAACGAAGGTAATCAATTCCGGCTGACCTAGGTTCATTACGTCGAGCTCATTATGACGGGGATTTGTGTAATTAGAGTCAGTCTACGACGACGATCTACCTTTCTTTTACCGATTCAGGTGGAACGTTCGATGATTTTGCAGACTTTTGATCCATCGCAGGATAAATTTGCATACAATGCATGGATCTTCTAGTCCCACCCCCCCTCTTCCAATATTATGATCGTATTTGCATGCTGATCAACCGCAGACCTTTGTACCCTAAGAATTCTTCGTTAACGGTATTTGCATGTTCACTGAAAAATCCTTTATGCAAATGAGGCAACAACCGAATCGAAACTTCGTTTAAACGTTTCACGGATCGATAGGGCTTTGATGAAGGAAGCTATTAAGATGTTTGCATGGCTGTGTACAAAAGCCTAAATATAAAATAATCAATAGAATCGTTTTTTAAATTTACAAACATAATAAGCTACCGAAAAGGAAACAATATGACTAGATAAAAAACGTTCAAACTAATATTGGCAACGAGGTCGAATTTTCTGCGAGGTGCCAAGCACCCTTAACTGACGGAGTCAACGTAAGGACCTGACGCGAAGCGATTGAGCTAAACTTTTCTCATAAGCCGCCGCGTGACGAGTAAAGAAATCTTGGCGAATATACACGTACTGAGTTCGCCGTGAGTCTGATCAAGTTTGCAAATAAAACTTCTCATTAGTAACAAATGATTTCATTCATGACGGTTGTACATCATAAGAAGACTGTGTATTTTAGGTATTTATAGAAAAATTCAATATGTAGTATAAAAATTGTAATGTATTAAAATATATGAAACGTCAAGAGCCGCATGCATATTATAATATTTACATGATGAAAGAAATTCCTATCTAAAGCATATTTTTTAAGTTGTTACTATATATGTTTCGCTTTGCATAAAAATTCGCGTCAGTATTTATCCGTAGGTTGATCAACGGATCAAACTGGCGGTAAACTCTGTGTTATGGAAGCCTAATCGTCGCGAGAAGCTCGCCATATTCGCTCGGAACACAAGACCGACGCTTTCGCCTCGAGATAATTTGCATGGTTTAAAATCGCGTGAAACTTCTGAAACGTATCGCCGGGATTCGGTTCCATGCATATCACGGCGCAGGGCGACTTCGCCCCCCTTGGTAAAATTGTGTGAGTTGTTACCTCACGGCATGCACGTTGCATATGCATGCAACTCATCCCGCTCCTTTCTCCCATTTCTATCCTCGAATTCGACTCGGTGTGCAGTGCTACGTAAGAGTCTTATAGTGTCTTAGACCGTCCAATGACACACTTGAGTGGATTGCCGGTATTTTCAGATCTCGCTTTACATAAAGATGATTTTCTCTTTTTCATCTTTATTTTAATCTGCAAATATTGAAAGGCGTTTTATAGCTATGATATATCTATTAATAATTAAATTATTTGAAATATTCTTCTGGATAAAGTAAAAGATAACATAAAATACCAATTATATAAATTAATGAATATTCAGTGACATGAAGAACTTGAAATATTTTTTGGACTAGGCTAAAGACTCTTTCATAGCACTGTATGGTACAGTAGCAGAATTCTTGCGTCGCTGAAACCTAGAAGCCACTCTCCACCTCTGCTCATTCCGGGTGTGGGTTAGGGGTCTGCAGCTAGCGAAGGTTTGTTACTCTCAACTGTGCAGTAGCATCATCGACACGTCGCGTCCCCCAGGTGGAGCAAGAGTGGGGAGAGCCAACACATCCTTTCCCTCCCCCGAATTTCAATGAATTCTAAAGATAACTTCTCGACTGCAAATCCTACTTCAATGGCAACCACCCTGGCTCCTCTATCCGCCCGGCGTTTCTCCGCTTCTTGTTGCTCCCCTTTTCGCCTTTTCGTCCCTCGCGCGCCGCCAGTCCCCGCTGCGGCCCGCCCGTTCCTTCGCTTTGTTCGCCGTTACCCGGATTCGCACGCGGTCCAAGCGGCGCAGGCCAGATAATTTCCCTCGAAACGGATGCAGTTATGCAAATACCGAGCGCCGGAATCTTTATTAATGCCGGCTTGAACGCCAGCCAGAAGGTGGCAAGGTACACTGCAACAGGGTAGCTCGCTTTGTATGCGCGTCGATGCCCGGAATCACGGAAACGGAAGGAGCCCGCGCGCGCGCGCGCTCTCGCGCCGCCCTAAACAATTCAGCCCTGGTGAATTAGCGGCCCGTGCGAGATATCGCGCGGCATCTGCGATTTCCAACGACGACCCCGCCGAGCTCCGCCGTACGACTTCGCTCGATGACGAATGGCCTGTCTCGCTGGGCTTTTTGCCCGCCGGCAATTACCGAGCGGGATTGATTGTTAGGGTTGTTAGCCGTTACGCGGGACATAAAGATGGGATACGCGGCCGAGAATTATGACTTTTCAAACCGTTTATTGTTTTCTGTTCGCAGACGGATGCGAGAAGAAGAAGTGCGACTTTTATGCAGAATGCGAGAGCGACAGCGCTGGCGAGGCCAAATGCGTGTGTCCAAGTAAATGTGAGAGCTCGGTAAGTTTCTCGTTATATTATTTCCACGGGTTAAACTTAAAGCATATTTTTTAAGTTGTTACTATATATGTTTCGCTTTGCATAAAAATTCGCGTCAGTATTTATCCGTAGGTTGATCAACGGATCAAACTGGCGGTAAACTCTGTGTTATGGAAGCCTAATCGTCGCGAGAAGCTCGCCATATTCGCTCGGAACACAAGACCGACGCTTTCGCCTCGAGATAATTTGCATGGTTTAAAATCGCGTGAAACTTCTGAAACGTATCGCCGGGATTCGGTTCCATGCATATCACGGCGCAGGGCGACTTCGCCCCCCTTGGTAAAATTGTGTGAGTTGTTACCTCACGGCATGCACGTTGCATATGCATGCAACTCATCCCGCTCCTTTCTCCCATTTCTATCCTCGAATTCGACTCGGTGTGCAGTGCTACGTAAGAGTCTTATAGTGTCTTAGACCGTCCAATGACACACTTGAGTGGATTGCCGGTATTTTCAGATCTCGCTTTACATAAAGATGATTTTCTCTTTTCCATCTTTATTTTAATCTGCAAATATTGAAAGGCGTTTTATAGCTATGATATATCTATTAATAATTAAATTATTTGAAATATTCTTCTGGATAAAGTAAAAGATAACATAAAATACCAATTATATAAATTAATGAATATTCAGTGACATGAAGAACTTGAAATATTTTTTGGACTAGGCTAAAGACTCTTTCATAGCACTGTATGGTACAGTAGCAGAATTCTTGCGTCGCTGAAACCTAGAAGCCACTCTCCATCTCTGCTCATTCCGGGTGTGGGTTAGGGGTCTGCAGCTAGCGAAGGTTTGTTACTCTCAACTGTGCAGTAGCATCATCGACACGTCGCGTCCCCCAGGTGGAGCAAGAGTGGGGAGAGCCAACACATCCTTTCCCTCCCCCGAATTTCAATGAATTCTAAAGATAACTTCTCGACTGCAAATCCTACTTCAATGGCAACCACCCTGGCTCCTCTATCCGCCCGGCGTTTCTCCGCTTCTTGTTGCTCCCCTTTTCGCCTTTTCGTCCCTCGCGCGCCGCCAGTCCCCGCTGCGGCCCGCCCGTTCCTTCGCTTTGTTCGCCGTTACCCGGATTCGCACGCGGTCCAAGCGGCGCAGGCCAGATAATTTCCCTCGAAACGGATGCAGTTATGCAAATACCGAGCGCCGGAATCTTTATTAATGCCGGCTTGAACGCCAGCCAGAAGGTGGCAAGGTACACTGCAACAGGGTAGCTCGCTTTGTATGCGCGTCGATGCCCGGAATCACGGAAACGGAAGGAGCCCGCGCGCGCGCGCGCTCTCGCGCCGCCCTAAACAATTCAGCCCTGGTGAATTAGCGGCCCGTGCGAGATATCGCGCGGCATCTGCGATTTCCAACGACGACCCCGCCGAGCTCCGCCGTACGACTTCGCTCGATGACGAATGGCCTGTCTCGCTGGGCTTTTTGCCCGCCGGCAATTACCGAGCGGGATTGATTGTTAGGGTTGTTAGCCGTTACGCGGGACATAAAGATGGGATACGCGGCCGAGAATTATGACTTTTCAAACCGTTTATTGTTTTCTGTTCGCAGACGGATGCGAGAAGAAGAAGTGCGACTTTTATGCAGAATGCGAGAGCGACAGCGCTGGCGAGGCCAAATGCGTGTGTCCAAGTAAATGTGAGAGCTCGGTAAGTTTCTCGTTATATTATTTCCACGGGTTAAACATTTATTCTCGTCTGTGTACACATAATGTTTTCGTATCGATTCGTAAAATTAAAGTTACTATTTATATATTATTCAATTATTTTAATCGGAACACGTAAAACTGTTTTTACAAAATAATAATGCCCCAGTTCTGTGAACTGTTGGTAAAATGCAGAGAGGGCTCGAATTAAAGTATAACTCTTCGTAGAGAACGCTGCTCGTTCACAGAATCTACTTAACCTTTGCCTCGAGTACACTTCTGCGGATTAGCCTCGTAAATCTTACTAATTCAGTTAATTGTTATCAGAACGAAGTTACGAATAATAATTTCCTGAATTCCTTCGCGAAACAATACAATTTTAATCCCGTTCGTCGCTATTCGATTCTCTTAAGGATGTATAGGCTATATACTTAAACAATGCTAGCATGTTGAATTTGTTATAATAGATTCCTATTACTATNTTTTAGCACGTTGCTATTTATTATAAGTATTGTTCTTCCGACATCTGATTCCTTTTTAATTATAGAAAATGCGTTTTTCTAATGTACATAAATTTTTGGGATTGACTATATAGCCAATACATCCTTAATAAAGGTAAAACAGTGTTCGGTTGTCTGATGTTAAAAGTTCAACGATATTTTTAGTATCATGTACTCGGCGGGTTATATGAGCTTATCCGAAATACGAAATGATCAACGTTAAACGTAATAAACCACTGAACATACCGATCTCTGGGCCTTTGTGTGCTTAGCATCGTACGTAGTGTTAAGCCACGCTCGTTAGCACGGTTTAAGTAAAATATTCATACTATGATGGATGTGCAGTCGAGTGTATACGTATATACGTAACGGAGCGAGAATACTCCGATCGTGCACGATATTTCACATTTCCGCTTTACTGCTTACCGCTGCGATGTTATGCGACCGTGTAATGAGCCGTTCTCGTTTCATCGATACCGACCGACCTTTTCAGATTAGCCGACGTTGAGCATCATTTTCATTAAAGTATTTTTTTTAGCCCTTCGTTCATCATGAATTAGCCCGTTTCACGTTTTTAATTTCGTCCACTCGTCTCTTTTGAAAATTCACTGTTAGCGGTACATCCGAGCAAATAAAAATGCCGAGAAAACATTTGCAAATCATTTCCTCTGATACGCTTGTAAATAATTCTAGCGAAAGCTCGATAAGAATAAACAGCCTTATTTTATTTATGCATAATCGTATTTCGTGAAAAGAAACATTCTGTAACTGCGTCCAAGACTTGAAGGTAGGAAATTCTTTACTGTAACTCGTCGATTCAAGCAAAATTTGTCACCGTCTTTCCCAATCCCCCGGAACGGAATGTTCCTTCATCCTGTTGGCAACAATCAATCTTTGGATGGTTCGGAGCCCGGGGTATCGCGTCGATTCTGAACGAGATTCCGTGGCGCAGCCGGAAAACGAATACGTGCACCCGGGAGACGGAGGAAAAAAGAACGAACGAACGCGACTTTATCGCGAGTAATCCGCGAACGGGTTTTACCCGGGAAGTTCACCCGTAGCAAAATTTCCCGGGGCAGAAATATTCGTTGGGAATGGAGAGCACGTCACGGCCCCCCGAGATAGCGTTCACTATCGAAGAGACTTCTTCTTCGATCCGTCCCGAGACACATGCCGGTCCGGGAAATTCACGGATTCGTGGAACGTCCTGCTGACAAAACCACGAACAATTCCGGGGGCCGCGCTCTCTCCTCCTTTCGGCGCGATGCGGTGGTACGGTTCCGACGTTCCTGGCCATTCACGTAACTGCCACGGGCGCATGCTTCTTTTTCCAAAAGGTTTCGGGAAAAGTGGTCGAACGCCGTCGGGGGTGGCGGCTACACGAACCGGCCCCGGGGCTATCCGAAATTCTACGTTCACGTTAGAAGACACTTATGCCCAAGCAGCCATCAGTTTGAACGACCTAGAACTGCGGAACGTGCTGTCGTTTTGGCGAAATACTGCATCATGAAACTTACGTTTTGTCAGCTGTCGACGATCTTTTTTAGGTCATCGATCTACATCAGATTTTCAATTATGTTCTGTTAAAAAATAACTGAAGGTTCGTGATTGACCCCTATTATTAATAATATCTCAGAAAGCAGTGTTTGACTATTTATCAGTCGTGTATTTAATACGAGCATGAAGTGAAACTGCTGTGGACGCAACGATGTAATTTTTAGTATAAGGTCGCCGGGTATTGGTCCGTCCTTTCTTGCGTCCTTAACGCGAAATTACGCCTTCCTCGCATGAACGCACAATATTCCCCGCAAATTTGACGCGTCAGCGTTCCACGGGTACGGGAACGGGGGCGACGGGACTTTCGAGAAAAGACGGGATGAAGCGGACTGAATCGGAGACACGGAGAAAGAGATGAGGGTTAGAGGCATTGTTTGAACTGCAAACGAGGAATATCGGCACGTCCCAGCTACCCTTACAGTCTCGTGAATCCCCTCGTAATTGTCTCGTAAATTACAATAAGAAGGAGCCGAGGTGCGTATCAACTTGTCGCGGGGAAACTAATTAAAACGCGCCGACCGGCTATGAATATTTTCCCAGCCGAGCTCTTCGTTATTATTCGTTTACCCTTTGTGGTAGAAATATAACTGCGCTATTTATTAATCCGTGGAGTGGATTAAAAAAGACCCGTAGCAAAGTATTAATTCGAGAAAAATGAAAGACAAACTTTTTGCTTATCTCGTAATTGTATTTTTCAGGCCAATTATCTTGTTTTCCATGAATAAATTGTTCCCTGAATTTAAAGTTAAGAATGCATCCAGCTACCAACGAAAGAATTCTCTAAATATCAATACTTACTGTACGAATCGTAAAAAGAAAGATAAAACAAACAATACAGTTTTCAATATAAATTCACGTAGAATGCATTCGTCTTTTAATCACGTCCCATCTCCGTTCTGTACAATTGGTCGACGTATCAAACGGAGGTACATTTCATTTAACTATGCATAGCGTACATTACCTCTAATTACGGAGGAAACAGGAACATTACAAATACACTACAGTATGATGTTTCTATTAACCGTGACAGGATCCAGCGTTCCACGCGTAACGTGCTTACAATATCACGCGACCACGGCTTCGTTCGAGAGGAGCGCAGAGGAATGCAAGGGAAACGCTGCGGGGCAAAGAACGCTGACCGACAACGTTCGCGTGAAACGCGCGTAATAAGCAAACAATGCCCACACTGAATACCGTAGCTAGGCTAATTAAGTTTTGTTCTTTCGCGTATTATTTTCTCATCCCCGGCGTGCCGTCCCCCATCAGCGGAGCTAACGTGTACACGTCAGAATGCCATGCTGCACCGGTCCAAGCGTGGCTTGCTCGTGTGCAACAAGTGCGAAACGCATGCTACCTCGTGTTTTTCTGCCCTGTTCTCCCTTGCGATTCCTCCGAGCTACATAAATAAGCAACGCGAAAAAGTATTATACCGAGAAAACTTACGACGATCATTTATGTGTAACTAGAGAATTCATTTTTAATAATTTATTAAACGAAATGCAATCAATCAGAGAAAATTTAGTCCATCTGATGTTACATGTATTATTAAGACGTAATTTATGCATATTGGAGTATTTTTTTAACTCTTATTTTTAGGGAAAAGAGCCTGCGGACGCGGAGAAAGTTTGCGGTTCTAATGGAGTAACTTACGCCAACGAGTGTTCTTTGAAAATGGCCTCTTGTACTTCTCAAATACACATCGCACTCAGTTACATGGGCGACTGCGGTAAAGCTTGTTTCATACTTCGTTGTTAATTTAACGTTACACAGAGCTGAATGCTAAAACAAGTTCTGCTCATTCGCGTAGGAAATAATTTGCAACTACGTATATAAGGAAAATATATACGTTTTCAGAACTCTGCGCGAAGGTTGAATGTGATCACGGTGCTCATTGCATGGCTGGCGTATGCGTGTGCCCGGACGAGTGCCCCGAGAGCAATGGAAATCCTGTGTGCGGTAGCGATGTGAAAACTTACCCGTCGGAGTGCGAATTGCAAAAGGCAGCTTGTGGAAGGGACCCGAAATTACCGGTGCTGCACGTGATATTCAACGGCGATTGTGGCGAACGATTTGCTGTAGCAGCACTCAGTACGTTATCCATCCTTTACGAAGTATAATTTCTCTTAATTGAAAACGAAGTTTACTCTTATTACTTTTTACTATTTATTATCTCAATTGAAATCGACTATTCATCGTATCTTGAAATATAAATCTTAACTGTCTATTAACGACGCGAGAACGTTTAACCAACACGCCGGAGCCAATTTCCGGTGGTGTACCGCTTGCTGTCAGACTAAGTATATTAACCACGCCACCCCAAAAACGCCTTCCCTTAACGAAGCTAACTAACTGTCTAACGACGTCTCGCGTAACAGCGCTAACTACTTTAACCGTCCGTTAACCGCCTCCTAATAGCCACGATGTCAACGCCTGCGGTGGTTCGACTGGCCACCACAACCATCGACGTGACCAGCACCCAGGTACGGGAGGTGGTCTGTAAGAACATAAACTGCGACTTTGAGGCGACTTGCGAACTGGGCCCGGACGACTACCCCAGGTGCAGCTGCAAGTTCGACTGCGCCTCGATCTCGCAGGAAAATATGCGGCCCGTTTGCGGCAGCGACCTAAGGATCTACTCGTCCCTCTGCGCGATGAAAATGGAGGCCTGTCAAAGGCAGCAAGAGCTGAGAGCCAGACCTCTCGAGCTTTGCAAAGGTTCGCAGCGGCTTCTAAAACCTCGAGTCGATCCCGTTATACAATTCCTCGCATTCAGTCAGATTGATTACTCCCATTGCTTGATCCTTTCCTGAATTACGATCTCTTAATGTTAATGGGCTAATTAATTGACTATGTTCCCCGCTACTACCTCTGGCTTTCCTGTCATACTTATAAAACGAATTTTAGATTTTAATTTGTCAGAATTTTTTATTGTTCTTTTTTACATTCTAGTTGCAGCATTTTAACGTACAAATTTAATAGTACACGATTGTTTTTTTTTTTAATATAGGTATGGAAGTGAAGCCTTGTAGTGGTGAACCTCCATTGGTGGATGCTGATGGGAAGGAATATGATTGTGGCAACGGTCCAGAACGAAGGGACTGCCCGAGCAATAGTTACTGCCATCAGACGATACGATTAGCTCGATGCTGCAAGAAAGGTTTGTCCTCCTAATTAGTTCCAACATTAACAAATCTGAACTTTAATATCATTTCTGTTCACACATTCAATTTATCCAAAATTTTCTCATAAATATAAATGAAATAATCGGGAAGCAAAAAGTTGATCATCGATTGTCTCAAATTCAAGAAACCCAGGTCGTAAAATGTTCGAACTCTTGGCACGGATGCTGTCCGGATGGCAAAACGGCGGCTCGAGGACCGAACGGTGCAGGTTGTCCGAGTTCGTGCGGCTGCAACAAGTTAGGCAGTGTTTCTGATACCTGCAATCCGCAGACTGGACAATGCGAGTGCAAACCAGGCGTAGGTGGTCTGAAATGCGATAGATGCATGCCCGGTTATTGGGGTTTGCCAAAAATCAGCGAGGGGCTCCCGGGATGTATACGTAAGAATACATGAAACTTAATTTACAACATTATTTCTGTATTACGAAGACTATAAAGAATGAAAGCATTGTCTCATATTAGTAACTAAGAGATTTGTATTTATTTATATAGAAACGTATTTGCAAGTGAAATTCGATTTACTGACAAAATTGAGTGTGAATTTATCTGATTGCTTCAGCGTGCGGCTGCTCGCTGTTTGGAGCCGCCAGAGAGGACTGCGAACAGATGACCGGTAACTGCGTTTGCAGAAAGGATACGCAGGGCCAAAAGTGTACCATTTGTATCGATCATAACAAGATTTTAACACCCACTGGTTGCTATTCAGGTATCTCTTGAATGTGAACATCGTTGACGTAAATATACGAGACTGCGCGCCATATTAAATTCCGAATGCACATTCGTACTATTATCATTTACACAGTCTAATTAAATTAGTCGTGAAAAACATATATAGGAACAGAAATATGTAGAAATAAAAGATACATATTTTAAAGTCTTAAGACAAAAGTAGACAAATTTGTATGAGTAATATTGTATAATGATTTTTTTCAATTGTAAGGATGTAACGAAATGGTACAATTTGTTTGCAGCGGACACTACACCGCCGATACCAACGTCCTGCAACGAGCTGGAATGCTACTCCGGCGGTCAGTGCCAGGAGATCGGCGGCCCGCACTGCATCTGTCCGTCGTCCTGTCCATCGGACGTACCGTCGGTGCCGGTTTGCGGTAGCGACGGACAGACATACGACAACGAGTGCGAGCTAAGGCTTTACGCTTGTCACCACCAGGCAGACGTGGTCACGCAGGCCTTTGGTCACTGCAGAGGTGGGTTCACTGAACGTACGCCGTACAGGCCGCCTTATATTCTGCATTATTGAGCTTTAATGAAACGTCGAGTGCAATTTTAATAAGTTCAAGCGGCTGGCGAACGAGATTCAACTCTGTTACACGGCGCGGGGTCGATGCTAACGTTTTAACTCGTTGACCCGCGTAGAGTGAATTGTTCTCGAATCTTAATTTTTAGAACGTGTTCTATTTGTTAACGTATTGATTCACGAATAGGCTTAGTGTATCTGTTTGTGAAACATAGAAACGAGCAGCGAATATAATGTTTAAGGAATTAATGACACGCGAAGGGGTTGGTCGTAACGATTTCGAGGGTTCATAAATTTTAAACTAGCTTAGTTAGGAACGAGTGTTATCTAGGTACTGCAGCTCGGCAGTCACTGTAGGAATCGTCGAGACGATCTCGTCGGGGCTCGATCGGCACTAAGAATAAAAAAAATCTAACCTGTTCCTTTGTATCCATTAACGTGATATAATAAACTTATCATGTTTCTACTAACATGTATATATATATGTTTATAATCCCTTTAACCCGAAGTCGCTCGCCCGTTACTTTGCTTGCTTTCTTCGCTAAAACTTTGTAATTAACGTGAATGCACGCTAAGTTTTGTTATTAAAAATGGAATTATTAACTAACTGTTTGACGAGAAAGAAAGCAAAGTGCACACAATTGAATTAACCCTGACTGAGTCAATTAAGAAGTTGAAAAATGAGAATAGTTAATTCTTGTTCTATGTTACGGAAATAATTGATCGGACGAAATTATCACGAGAATATTAATCAGAATTAATAAATTCACGATTATTTAATAAAACGGACACCATGTAAATTTTAATCAGTACAAGCTTTCCTCCAAGAATATCGAGTTTCTCGAAACGAAATCAAAGTATCTGGCATCGGGAAAGATTGAGCCGGACTCGACTGAGGCATTGCGGAATTTCCTTTATCCCAGGAGTATGCTATCTTGCTCGTAGGTAAATTCCGAAGAAAGTTGGTGACGTTAACTCGCGAAACTAAGCGCCAAAGGTGGATTTAACTAAATCACCGTCGACTTCGAAGCGAAGTCTCGTCTTAAGTGGTTCCTGTGAGATATGCCCGGCCGGAACTTAACATCGGGACCTTAAGAAACGGTAACGAAACGTCTCCTGCCCCGGCCGTTAAGCACAGCTCCGCCATCAAAATAAATTAGCGACGGGAAGAGAAAGTCTAAAGCCCCCTCGAAGTTTGAACGAACACCGCGCTGTATCTACGGACTGCTTTTTGATATCGCTGTCCTCCATAAATTCACCGCAGGAAATTCGATCGGCCGCGTGTTCGTCGAATCGACGCGACGGTCACGATAAATCTATCCGAGGAAGAATTCTCTTCGCATCTCTCTCCTCTGAGTTCCCTCTTACAGATCCGCGTAGACCAGGTAATTCGGAACAGCGTTCGAGGATACTCGAATTTAGATCACGCATTAATTGAGATTCTGTTAATATATAACTTTGATAGAAATATAAATACCAATAAAACTAGTTTACTGTGTTAAAGTACTTTGGGAACTAGAAAAGCATCTTAATGTAAATTGTTAAAAGTAAATGAACACCATTTGTATATTTAATATACAGTTAAAAAATATAATGTGCAAAGAGAATTGAGTCCATGATATCCTTAATATTTCGAAAGTATACTCCAATTTGGAAGACAATTGAAAGTAATTTTTTTTCTTTTATACCAAGTCATTGAGACTTATCACGGAATAAAATCTAAAATCGAGTAGTTCATTATTGATCGATAAACTTGTCGAACGACGCTGCGTTCGAGAAGCACAGTGCCAGTGGAAAAAAAGCATCCCCAGCTGTCGTTCGAAAGTATTCCACATTCACTGGCAAAGTTCGCGGAACGAAACGTCAGAATCTATTAAAGTCTCCTCTCGGTTCCGTAACCTCTCATCCCTTATTTTCGATTGCTCAGCTCTCTTTCTCTCTCTCTCCGTACCCCCGGCCTGTCCTGTCTCTTCTCGGGAACTGCGTCGGTCTGGTCCTCCTCTACTCACCGGGAAGTCAATCTCTTAAAAAGTTCTTCCTCTTCGGGACTCGTCCTACCGAGTCAAACATAAATCAGATTACTTCGAGCACGCGAATCCACCCCTCGTCTGCTCTTCGCCACTGTCCCTGCGCTTTATACAGGACGGTGCGGTTCCTTCTCTCAACTCCTTTTTCGCTCCTCTTCTCCGAACGAGGCACAGGAGAATTCCGTGAGCGGAAAAACGTGGAACCGCACGCTGTCGACGCCACTTTAAAACCCCTAAATATTGCACACTGCAATTTCTTCCACGATCCAGGCGTAATACCGCGCGTCGAGAGTCCCGAATGAAGGATGAGTATTTTGCCTAAGCTTGCGGATGATCTGTTGCAATTTGATATATTTTCCTGCGGCGTGGTTTTCGTAGAATATTTCGGAAATCATTAACGCGATGAGGCAATTTTTATAAATCTATAACAATCCAAATGTTCTCTTTTCTCATTCGAACATCCACCAACGTTGAAATTCCACGCTTTTAACGGATGAATATGAGGCTAATCTCGTCCGCGCTCGTCGGTACTCTTTGTAGAATAAACAAGGGGAAAATAAAATAATGAAACCAGCCATTTGGTAGTAGTAATGTCGATAAAACCTTTCGGCCATCGATGAAAGGGCCAATCGATGGCGCGGTGTCGGGAAAGAGGTTTCCTCGGTACGTAAATGTCAATTCGTATTTCCAGTCAGATTTTCCTCTCCGGCAATCGCCGAACACTTAAATTGACTAAATCCGTGCCCCTCTTGGACTCCCCCGCAGCCCCTGCTTCCTTCCCGTCGTATTCGACTCTCTCAGCGCCTGAGTTCCCGGGCAGAAAATATTTTCATTGGAGAGCGGAGCGAGAAAAAAGTTTCGACGTCGGTTTGTCTCGGAGTCAATAAAAGAGTCGATTATATCGATAGGAAATACGCGGGAACGGCGACGGGAACAGGGTGGGAGGGGAGTTCGAGGAGAAAGGGTAGCAAAAACCGATGGAGAAAAAAACAATGGGGGAAGATAGCGTGCAGCTACCGGAAGTCGTCAATGCGAAATAATAGAAAGCAACGTAGCAATTGAGAAGTAATTAAAATCTCATCAAGAATCGGAATCTCTTCGATCATTGTTACCAGTTTCGGTGGAATTAACTTCTCGATTCACATTATTCATAGGAACCTGTTCACGTTCCCACCACTTCGTTCATTGAAGGTATCGTCTCTTTTCTGTATCGGTTTTACACGTCCTTGCGTATGAATTGCATTTCCGTACGAGGATGTAATGGAGATTAAAAAAAAAGAGGGAAACCTGCGAATTACATATATTACAATTTTTATTCGTTGCTCGTTAAAAACTTATCTCGTCTATTAAGCAATTGCGACTTCAATGCATTCGATGAACATGTTAATGGCACAAAAATGTGGAACGTTCATGGAATTTTCAGACGATCCCATGGTGAATACGGACTTCCCAGTAAAAAGGTACACAGCGGTGCAATACACTCAGCCGGCGGCCGCTATTTCTCCCTTATCGAAATCTACCAGGCATCTGGTGTCGGAACCGGATCCACGATATTATTACACTCATCGGGCGCATCAAGAAACCATCACCATTGACAGGGATAATTTAAAGCACGGTAAAAATTGACCCGAACTCTATTCTACGGTCGTCCGTGTCGATATGTCACGTCAATGCGAGGATTCTTACGCGTCCTGATTTTTATCCTGGACTCTATTATAAGTTCTATAGATAACTTAAATCAGAAAACAACGTGTCTATAATCGGAAATTAAATTAACATCAAATATCTGCTTTTATTTTTGCGTCGTAAATTTAGCATCGCGATAACACAATCTCAGCGTGTGATAATTAATAGCACTCAAAATAAAGCATTAAATAAATGAAACGAATTGCGTATACGTTTGCCTCTGTACTCTATATAAAACTATATACGTGTCTGTATGCATCGCGACTACATATATGTTTGTGTTGCTTCGAGCCGTGCATTATTGATACATCCGCTTGCCGGTTTATTCTGGATAAATACAACACCGTCTATAATCGTCTCGAATCGGGAGAATTTTCGTACTACGAATGCTTTTTCGTACGAAAATCTAATGCGAATTCTATTCTCCAGGAGTGGCAACGGCGTATCGGCCGACACCAGCCACGATTCGCGTGGTCACTGCGCTGCTCGGCGATCTATGCACCGACGACAAGGACTGCACCATTCCAAATAGCGAATGCTCGAACGGAGGTTGCATATGTTCAGAAGGATACGCTGAAA